CCCCAAAACCCCAAAACCCCAAAACCCCAAAACCCCAATTAAACCAATTTAAATTGATAAAACTATTTTATTCTCTACTAGTTGCTCCTTTGATCATATTCTTGATTCCTTTATAACTCTCCACCATCTCTTCACCCTTGATCAGCTCCTTCCTTGCTTTCTTTGAGAGGAGTCTCTTCTTGCCATAAATAGACTTCAGCCTACTCTGGTCATTCTTTAAAGAGGTATGCTCTGCAGAAGTCAGCACATGCCTTGCAAATTTCTTGTGGGTCCTAAATCAGGTAACATCAAGGAATTGCCATAAACTTACTTGCTAGTTTTTAAAGTATCCAAGCTTTTCTGCTCAGGAGATCTCGGAGACATGAACATCGCATTTCTTGAAGTCTTCCCTCCATTCGCTGTCTTCTTCAGCGCTGGGAGAATACTTGTGGTAGAAGAATGGTCATTTATAAAATTGTTCTCTTGAAGTATCACATTGGTGATAGGATTACCTCTTTGTTTCCCAGATGTCCATAAAAACTCTCTTTCTTCTTTGGATAATTTCTCTTCAGTAATCTGATCGCTAACTCTTGATATTTCTTCTTTAATAAATTGAGAAGACAATGCCTTCTGATACTTCAAATTTTTAGTAATCTTCCTTGAAGGTGACTCTTTCTGTCTGAAGAATTGTGACTTCTCTTGTCCAGTAAACGTCTGAACAGCTTTAGATCTGGAAATAGTAAAATCAGTTTGGCACTTTTTATTTCATGACTCAAGCATCTCGTTTCTTGGTGTTAACTGATCGCTTAAAATACTGTTTCCTTCAAAGTTGTCTGTGTTTGATTCAAGACTATTCTTCCTGCTGGTTGTTGATTTTTGTTCCTAGAGGTTACTCTTAATCTTACCCTCTTTAAAGATAATTTCTTGAGTATTTCTCGACCCTTTGCAGTTTGGAGTTCATCTTTAATACCCTCTTTCTCTAAATAAAGCTCAAGTCTTTTCTCTGAAAGTTCAATAATCTGGTCATTCTTTGAAGCAACTTCTTCTTTCAAAGCTTCATTTTCTCTATAAACTTGATCTAGCTGTGTGTTAATATGATTGTGCTTCTTTTTATAGCCCTCCAATTGCTCATTGGCCTTTTTAAACTTATCTCTGTATAGTTTGATTTGACTTTTCATGATTTTGACTTCGCCATGGTTCTTTTTATTCTCCTCATAAAGCTTGACTGCTCTCATATAGACATCTTCATGCTCCATGGAGGTTCTGTTATACCAACCGTCTCTCTCTGCCATGACCTTGCGATGCTCCTTCTTAAGCCTAGTGATGTATTCCTTATGATGATGGGCCATATTTTTAATGTTCTCCTCACAAGCTCTGTTATGTATCCTCAACTTCTCATTTTCCTTTGATATGTCGCTCTGGACTTGCTCTTTTTCCTTTAAGATTTTTATCTGCTTCTTATTCATCTTGTCTAACTCTTTTATGTCTGAAACAAGCCGCATCTTTTCGCATTCAACATCTTTGATCTTTACCTTGGAGTTATTCAGCAGATTTAAAGTTTTTATATGTGACTCTGGTATTCTTCTTCATACCTCTTGACCCAATCCTGGATGTCACGGCTGTATTTGTCCTTAAGTTCGAGGGATTTCTCCAGCTTGTGTTCGATAACTTCTTTTTCAATCTCAATTTCTCGGATAGCCTTGTTCTTAGAGACCTCCGTATTTTCGTATTCCAGCTCCATATCTGAGAATCTTGTGTTTATTTTATCTAATTGTTAGAAGAGGCTTACTGAAGTTAATCTTTTCTTCCTCAAGTATTTCTTTGGTAGAGGCTAGCTCTGCCTCGTATTTAGTAGCCAGCTTTTCACTACGGACGGCATCTTCATAAAGCTTCTTCCTCTCCTCGTTTACTTTCTTGAGTGTACGGTTTAAAACAGAGTAACTCTTGGTCAGGTCTTGTAGTTGTTTCTCATGCTGATCATATCTAGTCTGAATAGCTTCAGATTTCTCCTTTATAGATGTATTCTCGTATGTCATACGATCCATCTCATCTAGCAAGGCTATATTTTTCGCTGTATATTCTTCCTCATGGCTTTTTATGCTTTTGTATTCTCTCTCAAAATACTGCTTGCTTTTAGTTTCTTTAGCAAGTTGGACTTCTAATTCATCAATCCTTGCCTCATGGCCTTCAGCTGCTTTGTTACGTTTCTCATATTTCTCTGTGAGTTCAGCGATATCTCCGGCTAATTTCTGGTTCTTCATCTCATCAATATTCTGCTTGAAGCTGACATTCTTCAGATCCTTTACTGTATTAGCATATTCTCGTTTGAGCTTTTTATTGGTATCCTCAAGCTCAGCTTTCTTCAGGTTTACTTTGTTGAGTGCTCTGTTTATGCCAAGATTTTCATTAGAGAGAGTATTACATTTGGTCTCTAAATCAGCCAACTTGGTTTCAAGAGCAATTTTCTCTTTATTAAGCACAAGGGTTTGCTGCTCTAAATCCTTTAGCTCCTTTTCAGTAATTTGATACTTTTGAATATGCTCATCAATTTCTTCTAGAGCTCTATAGTATTTGACATCGTGGTCCCGACCGAAGGAATGTAGTTCATTCAGTTTAGCTTCAAATTGCTTCCGTATGCTGATTTCATCCTCATTTCTCTTCCGAAGTTCTTCAATATATTCGTTAAGTTTTTCAATATGGATTACGTAACTCTGAGTTTTCTTCTCTGCTGTCTCTGTTTGGGACCGTAATTCGTCATATTTCTCAATTATTTTTGCCTCTTTTTCGGAGAAATCGGTAGTGAGCTTCTCAAGCTTGGCTTTGAGATCGGATATTTCTTCCCTAGATACTCTTGTAATTTCTGAAATCATTAAATCGTAGTCAGTTTTACAACAGAACTCAAGGAGGATAGCATACACTCTCCAGATTGTTGCCATAAGGTTGCTCTTGGAACTGGACTCAACAGATCACTTTTTGAGCAACTCAAAGAAACCAACACTATATACGAATAATCCTCTGTAGATCCGGTTCACAAGAGTCTTACTAAGCCCAAGTTTTAGTAAGCTCTGGCGATCGATTCCATACTGATTGATAGGCTTTTGCTTATCATGCTTTAGGAAGGAGCTCTTCAATCCTATATCTTTGGACTCCTGAAGTATATCATTCAGCCAGGTCTCCATTACCTTCGGATTGATGGTCGCTGAGGAAGTATCTAAAATAATTCAACTACTGCTTTACCTATCGGCTCACCAGTTTCTTCCACACTGCTGGTAAAGCTAAACTTCTTGTGGCTCTGGCTAGCTTTTACTGACTTCTTTGAAGTATCTAGCGTTATGGAATTGAGGTTATTCATCAGCATCATTGCACTACTAGTGTTCCTAAAATTTTGGTATATCAATTACATTTTAGCTTGAAATTTGATCCGAGAATTTTCTCCATCCTGACGACTCTTCCCAACAGGAGAGGTAATTGTTGAAGATTGGCCGTGTATATTAAATGATTCAGCAGTAGTATCATTAAACAGCTTGTTATGGGTCACCAAACTGCTTCTTTCGATATCAGGGCTATACATAGAGATATAACGAACCTCATATTGAGCCCTCTATTTTTCCCAGTGCTCATTTCATTAAGTTGCTTTCTCTTTTTATTTAATCTATCCTAGATCAATTTATGAGGATATTGACACAATCAGGATTATACTTACAGTTGATAAGGAATCTCTGGAATTCATATAGGAACTCTTAGTCTCTTATTTCTAAAATCAACGATGAATAAGCGATTAGATCCATTTTAGGCCTGATCTAACATATAAGATAATTATTGCAAATGAAAATAATAATGAACCCCCAGATGTTAGAAATGGTATTCAAAAGTATGACCTTGATCTTTTCAAGGGCTTAAAACTTAATTGATCCCAACCTACTTGTATTTTGAAAATTATTAATTTAAATAAAATAAAAAAGGGGTTTTGGGGTTTTGGGGTTTTGGGGTTTTGGGG